GTCTGACTTGAATCTCAATTTTTTGTCTTGTTACATAATGCCTTTGGACAGCTTACTTTTGTCTTTTTACAACAAAGGATACCTCCAAACAACCAATGAAGGCTTGTATAAAAGGACCATTTTTACTCTCGAACAAATGACCTGATGTATTAAAGGATCTTTTTAAAAATCATTAAACGTGTGTTTGAAGTTGATAATTGTTATGCTTAGGTCATTGGTTCTTCTTATGGTGTGTTTTAACAAGGGCGTCTTTGTCTACTCCTTCTCATTTGCTTCTATGGACACAGATATATTGAAGATTCAAATAGAGACTGATGGTAAACTAAGATGAATGACAATAACAACTCTTTTAAATGAATTTTCCTTTGGATACATCAATGTGTTTTTAAGAACATACGCAGAATACATTTCCGGTTGGTTAATTGCACGGTTACGCTTGGTAAACAAATGCAAAGATTTGTAGAAGTTTAATTGTAGAAGACTTTTTAATGGATGTTGTGAAATTGAGCGAAGAACCTTATCAGGATTGACATCATAATTGACTTAAGTGTTTTGAGAGGATGGCGAGTTTTCTATGCAAATATTTCGTCCAAGATCTACAATACGCGATAAAAATCGAAAATGCCTTTCCTAAAAGAATTGACTTTTGCAACCAAACAATTACTCGGAATGGATTTTCCATGAGAAGCCTAATTTTATCTCCTTAATGGTTTGTTTTACTTCATTAAGGTAAAATTATAACATTTAGAAATCAGCAGAATCAGATTTCTTTCGTTGTGTTGTGATTTTTCTTGTTCCCGTCTAATTTAAGCTTTTTCTTTATTTTGCAATTTCCTGTCTTCTATACATTTCACATAACCATTTTATTATAAATCATTCTTTTGTGTTTATTGTCGTAAAACCACTAATAATTTGAAAAATAAAATGCATAATATATATTTATATGACGTCTAAATATTTTTAAATCCTTACTGTAAATTCTAAAGGATTCTCATTTGATTCTTGTTTCATAAGTTCAACACAAGTACGTATAATCTACAGCAGGCGTTTTTAAATTTCTTTATTTGTTTTTTTTTTCGTACTTCGATGTCATGTCCCATTCGATATCGTATTCCTTCGATGTCATATCCCAATGTCGATGTTATATACCATGAACAGACAAAACATGCAATGATAATGAAGAGACCACATTGCCTTACGGGAATATTTTTGAAGGTAACATCTCTTCATTTGTCTGTTGAATGGCAGAAACTCGAAAATCTCTCATATAACCGCCTGACAATCGATGCAAGGCGCTTATGTACATTTTCTAAGGTACCATCTTGTTCTCTCGCTTCTTAAACAGTTACTGTAACGCACTCCTCCAATGGGCTCTGGTCTTTGATATCAATCTTCATTCAAGTAAATTTACGATTAGAATCCTGGCGGTAGCATAGATGTTTCCTAGTGGTTCGGAATTCACGTTAAACTGTAGGTCCTGGCCTAATTAACCTAAAGTGTGCACAAAATGACCGTAGAGTGATAAACCAAACCAACAATGGTTCGAACCTATATTCCTTTGCTCGTAACCACTGTGTCATGGTTCAGACAGAACAGGGGTTCTTAACATTCTCTGCACCACGGAGCCATGGCTCAGACTGAACAGGGGTTCTTAACATTTTCCGTTCCACTAACCCAGTAAAAAGGATAATGTTTCAAAATGAGTAAAATTAAATCAAAGTAATAATAAAAAACGATTAACAAAATTAATTATTTTAATTTTATTTATTAATTAAAACTATTTTCAAATTATGTTTTTAAATCTTTGTGGTTGTTTTTTATTTCCAATTTAAAAATAATTGTTGGCTTAATAAGTAGCATTAAACTTACATATATGTACTCTATCTTATATGTATTTTTTACTGTAAATTAAGGATGGCTCTTCTGGAAGATATTTTCTATTTGAAATCTTCCATTTGCACTTTGTCCTGAACGTCTTATGTTAATTTATAGAGCACTTTAAAAACGATTTAGCGGGTATAATTACTCTTACATGAAATTATTCAGCAACATACTTTCATAAGGTAAATTTCTAATTACATATTTAAGGGAAAAGTTGATGAATTATTATGCCATTTAAATAATTTTTAATGGTAATACGCGCAAAAATATTTCATGTTGCCCCTGGATACGTTTTCAATCATGCGGTAAAACTAATCATCAAAGCCAATTAATGAAAAATAATTACAGACTATTAAGCACAAATAAATGAACATTAAACTGACAGGAAAAAGCCATCATTAATTGTGAAATTGTTTTCTACCTTATTTGAGAGGGTAAATGCTAACTTATAATTTCAAAATTGAACTTTCTATATACTGATTCTAATTAATATTTTTTCTTTTATTTTTAAATATACATACCAAAATGTAGCATTTTAATTATTTTTGTTTTTCGATAATATTTTGCATGACCATGGCTGATAATTATAACATGGTAGGAAGAGAGTTGTTATAAAAAAGGATTGATATTGGTTGATTACCATATGTAAATAGCATTTGTCCATGGACCTTAATAATTATCTAGTAATACAAATTTCCAACTAGATATAAGTTTTTAAACTGCTTTTGCAAACAAAATTAAAGACATATATACCTTTTAATTAAAAATAATTACACCTATTACAGTTCTCTATTACCAGTTTTAAAGATTATTTCGTTAATATCACTAATATAAAGAGCATTTTGATTTAAATATTTAAAAAAAAATATTGAAAACTTGAAAGCATGTTTATTTTAATAGTTTATTTTTACGTCTTCAAATTTTGTCTTATTATATTTCAGTAAACTGAGAAATATAATAAATGCTAAATAAATTATTTTAATAATTTAATAATTGAAAAATTTTATGGTGAAAATAAAACATATAGTCTATTAATATAAGAACACATTTAATGTTTCGTCATCAAGTTTATAGTTATAGATTTTTTTGCAGCTTGCAAAATTTCATTTTAAGGTTTTAGTTGGATTGTATCTTTTGTTGTTTTTGAAGTATTTTCTAAACTTAGAAACTTTATGCATTTAATCTTTGTTAAAAATAAATATATTTTGAGTTGATTATTTCGCACTCAAACTGTTAAAATGATTAATAGGTATTCTTGAATTTTACTTTTCTATCATTTTTTATAATTCATAAAATAACTAAAATTGCGAAATCTTGCAAAATTTTAAAATCATTAACCCCTTACCTGCCGAGGAAAACTTACGAGATGCGCTCCCCAGTGCCACCGTTTTTCATACAGGCGCGCGTAGTTATGCGATGTATTGGAGAAAAAAAAGAGGTGCGTTTTGCAACATAAAACCTTTTTACTTTCACAGAAAAAATAAAATGTAAAAAAAAAAACAAAATTCTAAATTTAAAGTATAGAATAACAGTGTAATAAAACAGATGTTAGAACTTATCTGCTGTGTGATATTTCCTAAAACAAGAATTCTTTATTGTTTCATATGTAAAATATGATAGGAGAAATAACTATTTATTTAAAATGTCTAAACTTGTTTTTTATAAACCAAGTCACATAAACCAAAATCACATTCATTGCATTGATAGCTGGTTTCACGACGAAACGGAAGCAAAAGAAGAATAAAAAAAGCACGACCTACTCAAACAGAAACGGAAGCAAAAACTGCACAGCTATGACTCGCCGTTTCAGAAACCTCCCCTTTACCAATACCCTATCCCTTTTCTCTGAAATAATAAAATCCGTTTCAAACATTGTCAAGGTCATTTTGTGGCATTCCAAGACCGTGGGAACAGTTTTCGTTATAGCAGCGCAATGCAAAGGATCGTACTTCGGACAGGCGTATATATACGCCGGTGGCAGTGAACGCATCGGTTGAGTGAGGCGTATATATACGCCGGCGGCAGTTAAGGGGATCATTAAATGAAACCGTTAAATGAAAAAATATTTTACAAATGCGTTCTGTGTAATATTTTTTACAACTATTATATTTATTATGAAATGCATTTAAATGCATCTGCATTTGAATCTATTAAATAATTTGAGTATATAATTAAAATTATCTATCCAAAATCTGTGAATATGAAACTGTTTACAGACTGTACATTTATTTTTCTTTTCAAATTAGGAAAATCATGTCGAAGTTTCAGAATACTTTTGTTAATGAAATTCTTTGGAGTTTCACATAATTAAAGTTATGAATTTTGTCCAATGTATTTTATTTTTGGCGTACGAAACTGAATTTATTAGTTGCATTATTTTCTAAAGGCATTAAAAATTTTCATTACTGAACTAATGCATTCAATTTTATATGAAAAATATTTTACCTATTCGTTTAATTGTTTAAATTTTAAATATGTTCGAATTTACTTCATTATAAAATAAAGTACGTACCGACACCATACTATTGCTCAAATTTTCTTGACCGGTTAGAGATACGCTATCAAATCTCACATAAATACTTTAAAAATAACTCCAAAAAAAAATTATTTTATATATCTGTAAAATTACTGGTAAGATTATATTGTTTTTGAATGACCAGTACTTTGACCTGAGGTCATCTGTCATCGAAATAGCAAACAGATTCAGTATTATCCTGGAAATAAGCCTTACTATACTGCACGTATCTTTTTTACCAACATAAGTGTTAATCCGCACCTCCTCTTCAAGTCAAAACGAAAGCACTATCCGCTTTACATGTTTATCCTGTCTTGTTGTTGTTGTTGTTTCTTATCCCACTTGGCTGGCCAAGCCCACGAGCCCATATGGACTCATGATTGAAGGGGAAGGAAGCAGCTTCTGTTGTGATGGAGCACCCGTAGGTAGAAGCCTGACTTTTGCTCCGTGACGCTCTTACAGTCATAGAAGACCGGGACCTACGGCTTAAAGTGGATTCCGAACCACTACAAACATCCATGGCACCGCCGGGATTCGAACCCGAAACCTGTGGCACCGAGCGCCAGAGCGCTAGACACTCGGGCATTCAGGTCCCAAATTTGCCAACGGCACGCAGTGTTCCCAGGTGGTCACCCACCCAAGTACTGACCGCGCCCAATGATGCTTAACTTCAGCATGGTACGGCCGTCGGCATTTATCCTGTCTTTCCTGACATAAGCAAGAGGTTTCAGGTTGATATCACTTGCAGAGTTTCTAACCAAGATTCACCAAAACAATATCCATCGTGCCATTGCACCCTTTCTGAAGTTTTTGCATACCTTTATTGTATTTGAAGAATATTAAAGCAAGGAAAGTTATGAACTCAGAGCAAAATGTAAAAACAAGTTGTACAATCTTGACCTTGCCATCGACCATCATACATTTCAATGTACATTTTGGTATTTCATTTCTATACATTTCAAAAGTATTTTTTATAGAATCTTCAAGGTGAACATTATGAACATATCTGGAAAGATCAAAAACACGTGTAGAGCTAAAAGCTTAAATAAAATAAAAATAATATTTCTCGGACTTTAACATGCTTCTCTACAAATACTAAGAGAAATGAATGATGTGTTTGATATCCAGAATATGAGTCGATTCTGTTTCTTCCCCCCATGAGTGTGAGTGGTATTCAAACAATATCTATTTTTTTCCCTTCTGCTTCCATTTTTATCAGTATTCAAACCATAATAATATTAAGGAATCTTGATATCGCAAAGTTCAACAACATTAATCATAAACAGATTCATAGACACGAGTTAGACGTGCTCGCATAAAAAGTTTTCATAAGAATGTTTTTAAAATATTTTTCAAAGGAATGATAAATTATTAAAATTCTTAAATTTCCTTTTTGGAAACTTCTCATAATTTTAAATATTTTATAGCTATTGAAAATAGAGATAAATTTTTTTTCAAATCAATAAGGATCCATAACTATAGATTATACTAAATCGATAAATTATTAATTTAAAATAGCAATCCATCAAATGATAGTTAGCGAAAAACATTATTAGTAAAACATACAGTTAACGTTTTATTTACATTAACTTTTTGGACAGAAATAATAAAGAAGTTATTGAAATTAGATTTTTTTCCAAAAATTATAACTTTCGTCATCAAGAAAATATAGAAGTTCATTTAGAACAGAATACTTTTAGACTTAAAATATTTATAATGCTTTTTGTTATTGTTGCTCTTACTTTTAATTTCTTGAAAAAGTTATTAAAAATAGTTTTTTTTATTCGTCAATCAAATGTGAACTGAAGCAAGCAATAAATACATTTAATTTTTAAATGCATATAAATTTTTCATAAAAATGTTTTTAAAATATTTTTCAAAAGAAAGAATTTAACTTAAAATAATCGAACATTTTTAGCCGATTAAGCAGTGAAAATCTGTTTTAAGACAGTTTAGGAAATTTTCCTCTTAAAAAAAAATTATCCTTAAGTGCTTTTTTTTTCTTCAAGAAGTTGGCAACTGTGTTTGCACTCAAAAATTGAACCATCACTGCTTCTGAATGGATGTGCACGATTCGGAACCGGGTGGCTGCACCTGTTCAGCGCGTGCTCTCGGGATGTCGAAGTGCATACGAAGTTATTCTACCCAGCGAACTTGACCTTGAGGTCAGATGATCGGCATTCTTCGGCCATCAATGACCAGAATAAATAATTAACTAGCTTTGCATACACACACACACATCTGCAGCGAAGAAGATGCTCCGAACGTACACCCAAGTCTCATCATCTAGTAATAGAGAAAAGTAAAAATTAAGTCTTGAACTTTAGACGGCGAAGTAGTTCGTTTATCCTTGGTTCTTCCCAGTTCAATATGTTTCAGAAAAAGCAAAATGTTTTTTGTTCCACGTTTTAAAGTGGAATCATAATTACTTTGTGATTTAACATCTTAATAGTTATATTCACCATTTGAATCTACTTAACGATTCATTTCCCTTTCAATTACAGAAAATGAATTAATTTTTTTTATTTGGTTAATTTGTGAGTTGAGTTATTTAAAGAAGATTATGGGTACACATTTTAGCTACAAAAAAAAAGTTTTGACTTAAGAAGAAAAGGTAACTCTCTTTATTATGAAGTCCCCTGTCTGTTACAAATTGATAGAAAAAATTGAAAAAAATGGATAAAAGTATTGGGAATTTTTATGGTTTGTTTAATCTTGACAGTCGTATGAAAGTACTTCGTCTTAAATTTTTCTCGCAAACAAAAATGATTTAATAATTCATATAATTATCTTTGTTATAATGCTCCCTATGTGTTACAAAAGGATAAAAAATTGAAGAAAAATGGATAAAAGTATTGGGTAGTTTTATGGTTTGTTTAATTTTGACTGTCGTATGAATGCGCTCCGTCTTAAATTTTTCTGACAAACAAAAATGATTTACGAATTTATATAACTAATTTACAAGCAAAGGGCATGCGATATTGAGTAACCAGAATCAAAAGCATACTTAGTTTTAAATTTTAATTACGTCAGATTGTTTAGCTTCTCACTTGAAAATTCAGTAAAAATTTGGCTTTCAGAAAATAAATTATTTATTTATTTGTTTATATCTAACAAGCATCAATGGAATTTTTTTAAATATTTTAATTATTGCAGTTTAAGGAGAGGGTTTTGAGAAATTGATCTTCAAATCATCAGTAAATTATTCTATACTTTTTACTATTTTTTACATTGCATTGCTCTATGCTTCAAATTTGTGCCTTAAAATTGTGTTCCCAGGCCTAAAATGCAACATTGTGGCAAACTAATCATAATTCTTGATGTTTCTGGAATTCTGGAAATGCCTAGAACTAATAAAATCATAAAATATATTAAAAATAAAGAATATTCACACAGACCAATATATATAATACCCGCCCAATAAGTATTACTAGTCCAATAAACATCACTAGCAATTACTTTTCGTCTTTTATCATCGCATATAGCGCTTACGAAGATAATATCACAAATTTACTTCACTAAAAAATTTAGAAAGGAAAAAAAAAACCTAAAAAATTTAAGCTCCAAAAAAACATTTGATAACGAAAAGACTTCTTTTAAAAGAAAAAAACCAAATTTTATAAAATTTTAACTCTAAAATAAATTTTGTTTCCTTATTTTTTTTAAATAAGTGAATACATTCTTTCAATTATTGCATCATAAATATAAAAAAATGCACATATTTACAAATAATTGGTATATTATCACGAATCTAAATAAAATCACTGCTTGCCTAATTATAAAATACAATCAATTTATATTTTTTCAAATTTTTATTTAATCGTAAATATCTATATTTTAAATGATGCCAAAAAATAATTTATAATTTCTTTCAAAATTCCGAACAGTTTATTTTCGATTCGTTGAACGCAATCCGAATTCTTTTTCTACTGACTACAATTTTTAACGAGACACGTTTATTCTAAATTCATAGATTGTAAAAAATTTTTTATTACTGTTATTAATTTACAATTTAAGTTTTGCATTATAACTTTTTTGAATGTTTTTTCGAATCCGCAATTATTTAATCTCTAAATGTTGTTTTAAACTTATTTTTTTAATCACTTTTATTTTGAATTCTCATATTAGTTTTCATTAAATCTTCTTTTATCTGTTTCATGCAAACAAAGAACTATGTTATAGATTGTGTAAATTTTTTAAATATTGAACTGTATTTTATTTAAATCTTCGTTATTTGTTGCACATAAATTTATATATAAATGATTTTCCTCTACTTTATTTGCTATATTTTAAAAGCTATATATTTATATTTCTGTTTGATGCACTTTAAACAAGTACTATAGAAAAAAAAAATTTTTTTAAGTCAATTCCTTCTTTTTTTTCTCACTATATTGCAGGAAGTCCTTTACAAATAATTTTCATTCATTTTTTTAAATTTATCTGGCGCCATCTATTGGTAGATACATGCAACTTAAATCTAAAAAAAAACTAAAATTAATTAATTACATTTATTTAATGAAATAATATTTTTAAAAAACTGTATTACCATCAAGTGTCATCCACTGCAAGTTAAAAAAAATGTATTTGAACTTGAGTGGATGAATAAAAAGTGTTTTATTAACGATTGAAAATTTGAACAAGATATATATAGGGAGAGTGAGAGCTAATAGAAGGAATTTAATTATATGCAAAAGTAGACAAGTTTATGGGACATATTACTAATTATTTAGTAAACGAGCATAAGAATTAACTAATGGGGGGGGAAGGCTAATTATTTTGATCAGCAAAAGTAGTTTAAAATATATTTCTAAACGATTGAAAAGTAATAACGGTTTGGATAGCAAATAACGTAAAATAATGCAAAATAATGATAATAAATCATGAACATGTGATGAAATAAGTAGCATTAGTAGCATCTTGAGCGTGAAAACGAATTTTTACATGGAATAGATAAATTTAATTCCCATGGAATGTAGCTAAATTATTAAGCATTACTGAATGAAACTATACTAAAATAATGATAATTGTTGGTTATTTTAATGAGATGCTTCAATATTTAATAAAATAAAAACATGATAATTGTTATCGCCTTTAAATTACATATAGCATAGTTGATGAAGAATTGCAATTTTAATTTTTTATCCAAATATTTTATATTTTCTTCCAAATTTATAGATTATTTTATTATTATTTTGAATGGCCTTTTTAGATTCATTATTATTATTATTATTATTATTGTACTTTAGTGCACGAAGTTTTTCTGTCAACATTTAAGCATCACGAAAATATTTTCATACTATTTTTTTCCCACAGGATTTGACTATATGTAAGATGAATTCCATAAAAACAGCAGAAAATTTCTAATGGGATGAATAAATAAAAGGAAGATTTAAAATTGTTATAAAATTAAAAAAAGTAAAAAATTTATATCAAAATATTAATTTTAAATGCCAACTGAATAAATTCGAAATAAATAACTATATTTATTACAATCATGTATTGATATAAAATGGTTAATGACTTTGCATAGAGGAATACTATTTTTGAACTGCTTTATTATATTTATGATTTGTTTCCGAATAAATATTAATATACTATATGGCTTTTGATTGATATGTCGCGTTTTGAAATTAATTTTTATAATTTATTTTCAGCGCAAAATTATTCTAAGTCA